TAAAAATTCTTATTTATTAAAAATTTAATAAAATTAAACAAAATTAAGAAATTTATTTTTACACTTCGTTTCCTAATTAATTTATGATTTTTCTTACAGGTCAGTATGAAAAAATCATGGTATCATTTCTGTCTTTATGAAAACTCACTCGTTTGGAAGTAAGTAAACAAGCAAATATATTCCAAGCGACATTTGGTAAAAAAAGACACATGCTACGTACAAGGAATGAAGCAAAGCTCAAACACTTAAGTACCAGTGAGAATCAAATTCAGCTCCCTGATATCGAATATCAAATAGAGAATATCTCTACCCTGTAACGATCGGGTGTCTAACGAGCAGCTGCAATTTTCGTACGTTGGTATTACGTTTCAAATGGTTTAGAATATTCTATTACAAGTCAAACTTTGACTTTTCAACTATACTCACGCTATTTCACTAATTATACGTATTTTCCGTACGTTCACTGTCTCTCAACATCTTTAAAATTTATGTTGTTACCAAAATTTAAATTTCATATTTATTTCAGTAAAACATTTATTTCATTCAGGTAACGAAACTATTTTCCTCCAAACTCAAGTGCATTACCAATTTTTTGAAAATATTCTTCAATTGTCTATAGATTCATTACAATAGTCTCTCACCAAGAGGATTTATATGAATTTACAAAATAATTTAAAGTTACAACTGGAACACACCGATTTTGAAAATGTTTATTTTTTTTTTTTTTTTATCGAGTGTATATCTTGCATTGGACATCAATCGTAAAAATACAGGCACACCTAGAAACACCCCCTCGAGCAGTAAGACCCGCATGCATCTCGAAGCTGAACAAAGGCAGCAAAAAGTCCCAAGAGAAAGAAAAAAAAAAAATATATCTTCTGTTATCCAAAAATAGGAGTAAGTACAGGGAGGGCGTGCAAAAAACTTTTCGGGCATTAAAATTCATGTCGCGGCGGGGTGGTGGCCGTACATCGGTGAGTAAACAAAAAGGTGGAAAAAAGAACTATCCGTACGTACATGCCCCTTGAAAATTTTCCGCCGACTCTCTCCTCTTTATCTCCCTCTCGACGCAAAAGTTTCTTAGGCATAGTGCAATACTCTCTTGCGCGCCCGCGGCGAGATCTGCGAAGCTTTTTTTTTTTTTTTTTTTTTTACCAGCGAGCTTGTGACTGTGCAACGTCAGAACGAAAAAAAAATGAGGGGAAAGTGCTGCCGCCGAGCTGAGAGCTGTTTAGCTCGAAGGGAAGGGGCTCTCCCTGGGCAATTCTGAATCATCGTGTGGCCTTGTATTATTACAGATTTTTGCTCACTTGTTACAACACGCACGTTTGTTTTATCGATATTTTCAGAACCGAGTCAAGGTTCGTTCGGCTCGAAATATTATTTTTGCCGACAGCCACGTGATTTGTCATCATCCACCATTCGCTCGCAGAACACGTCGATTGGTCTTGCTGATTACAGAGCTGGGACGAAAAAGTGAGTGGAACTGCAGTTACACTGCCACTCTTTCGTAAGTGCATACAAAAAAGACCATTGCCATTCTTGGACGTGACTGATCGTTCCGCGGTGCCAAGGGTGCAAGGGATAAAAAAAAGTTTTTATACCACTTTAATTTTTTGTTTTTTTTTTTCTTCTCGTCTTTTTTACCCTCCGAACTTTCTGTGCGGATAATTCACCTGATTCGCACGTTGTGGCGCGCAGAAAAGGCAACCAAGCGGGATAATATTTCATTTGACGAATCGTGGCTCTGGCCGCGACGCGCGTGGTTTTTCTTCCACGGAAATGGTCACGTTGTAAAAAATTATCGCATGGTTTCAGACGACGCCCTGTGGCCGGGGTATTAGAAGTTGGTTACCGTGTTTTTTTTCGTGGATGAGTTGAGGAAGTTTAAGAGCGAGTTCGCCGACCAGACGTGACTTGCACAAAACTACGATACTTTGCACGCTGACCCGAAAGGAAGATTATTGTTATTAGTGAAACCATTTTTTTTTTTCTATTTACTTTTGTTTGTTTTCATTAATTTTTCAATTATTATTAACATCGTACGCTCACAATTCACCTGAAAAAAATATTTTGAAACAACTTACGGTGCCACATAGAGTTTGTCTGAAAAATTTCATTCAAATAGTTCGAGTATTAATATTAACTATTGTTTATTAAGTCTATGAAATCGAAAAAAAAAAAATTATTTAAAATGTACTCACGAATACAAAGATTAACGCTATTCCTTACAACATAACGTGTATATAATAATACGTTAATTTTCTTTTTTGTCTATTTTTCTAATTAATCTGCATAAAGATGAATAAACGTCCTATTCTAGGGATTCATGTAGATGCTCCACAGCTGCGATATGACTAATCAATTTACCTATGATTCCTGCTCTTCCCAAAGACGTCCAAAAAATGAATTAAATTAGTACACCAGTTTTCTTTGCAAAGCTGAATAAATTGAAATACTTGTGTTAACTTTGCTCATTACATGCATCTCACGAACAAAGTTTTCCCATTTCCCTTCTCTTCTCCTCGTAGTCCGAGTCAAACTCTAGAACGCTCTGGTAGAGTATGTGAAGTGCGTCCCGTATACCCGGCGCCATTTGCAATAAACAAAGTACAATCGCAAAAATATTTATACTCCCTTACTGTCAAAGTTAGAAACAGTACATACAATGCGTTATTTTAAAGTATATAGTTGACATGTAGATAAAATAGTAAAAATATTTTACTTTGAATTAGTTAAACGTCCACATTCTTTTATGTGATTTGTATTGTACAAACAGTAGAAACCATTGTTATACGTACCATAAAAATCACTGCTTGTAACAGAAAAATTATTGCACGAAAAGTAAAAAGTCTCTAGGTTACCATTCTGGCCCAGTGACTTTTACTATTTTTTTTTCTCTCTCAGTACATCACATATTTCAACGTATGCTGCATAATGCATTTCAAAGCCATAAATATCCCATGGCCACGAAATAGTTGAGAAAATGAAAACATTCATTCCACTGCCGTATATACACCCAAGTATGTTCAGGTGCGCGAGAGGCGGGAAAAAATGAACAACTAAAGCCAACGTAGTTGTAGAACAGTACCTCCTTGAAACATAAACTCGCTGAGATTTTCATTAAACCACACGGAAAACTCGACTGCCTTGCATCACAGTGACTGGACTTTTTTTTATGACCAGACACTAGAGAGCTCGTGCTCTTCGTAACGCTATCTAGTTTCTACAATACTCTGTTTTGACTTCCTTTTTGAAAGGAATGACGTCGCATGGCGTATATTTGATTCAATAATCTTTGTTTCAACGAAATTCTTAAATTTTTTTATACTATTTCTGATTCGAATATAGTTATGAGCGTCGTCGTTTTTAAAGAAATCTTTTACGATTTACATCCTGTTAATACACTCATTGATATTATTTTCCACTATCAAAAATATGTAAATGACAAGTCCTTAAGTTGTAATTTTTGTACCAGAGGTCATTGTTTCAATGAAAAATTTTGTTAAAATTATGAGAAAAAACCAAGACATTACAAAACAGTACAAGATACTTTTAATTAAGACCAAGACAAGATTCAATTTTCATTGGTTGGGTGAAAGAAACATTTAATACAAGACGTAGATAAAAAAGGTAATACCAAGAATTATTCCTTTGTTATTTAATTGACCAATTAAATTAATGTAGAAGTCACCAAGACTCAACTATTACATCAGTCTCGAGATAATGTAAAAAAAAAAATTTAGAAAAATGTGCGATGACATCAGTTTTTTTTTATTATTTTTTATACAGCAATAATATTTATAAACAACTGTATGGTGTATTGTTAATGATGAGACAAATTTAATATTAAAAAATATTAGTTTCCTTAATTTTTACTCCTCTCGTGAATGAAATAGAAGTCCAACCACTACAAAATTAAAGGGCAAATTAATATGATTCCTCTACATTAGATGCTTGTTCAACCCGAAACCGAATCAGTCGTTTCTCGAATCCTACCACCGATGCATACATACATACATACTGATAAACGAAAGTTACTTTTCAGAGCGCATCACCATAGTAGCCATTTCATGTTTGTCAACGCAAACACCCCGCCGATTCCTTCTAACGCGTTCGCGGACGGTTAAAAAAATCCGCCAGTTTGCAGTATAAGAGCCATGGAAAAGGAGATCGGCGAACGATTGTCTTTGAAAAATCTTCCCAGTGCCCCACGCGTAAGGGAAGACACTCGCGTGGGAGGAGGACTACGAAGATATTGCCGGAGCGCGAGATTTATCCAACGGCGGGCCGGGGCTTACGAGAGGCAAAGTTTCCGAATTGCCCGCGGGAAAAGGAGACGACATCGGAAAACGATGGCTGTTAGTCCGAAGATTCGGCCGGATCCAGTGGGAGCTCGGACGCCTCGGCTATTTATCTCGAAAAGTGCGCGCCTTTCGCCCGTTATTGTGGATGCAAATGGAAGGTTCGCTTTTTTTTCCGCTTGAGAATGCAGGATGCAATTTCCGCGGTACGTGGCGGAGTGGACGATTTGTCGGAGAACCGATATGGCCGTTATTTTTTTTCCTTTCTTGGCAAATAAGTAAAAAATATTTTACTCATTTGTCATTGCTTGCAGATTTTTTTTTTTTTTTATCGCACCTCTTTATGCATAATTTTATATTTAATTAATTGTAACATTAAAAATGCTATTGGAAATGTGCTTTTTTTTATTTTTTTGTTTAACCATAACGTTCATCGACACGTTTGTGCTCCATAGACATCAAGTGTGATTGTGAGTGAAAGTTACAAACTATTTTGGTGTAAAAATACATAAACGCACAATCTTTTTAAAATAGTCACAAATTGCTCGTTCGCCCATTACTCGACGGCCTATATTATACGTATAGGTCTACACAGGCTATACACGCCCTTCGACACTTAAAAGACGTAACATATTCAGCCACGTTAGCGCCACGATTTCAACATAATTTGATTCCGACTTATCAACAGGTGCAGGGAGACAAAGAGAGGGGGAGGGGGGAAGTAAGGGTCGCTCAACTTGGCGATAAAATTAGGCGCGTACAGCTCCCGCACTTTTCCTCGATGATGCTTGGCAGCGATGACGCAGGAGGCGAAATTCTATTTAACATCGAGTGCTAATTCAATATCGCTGCCACCGGGCACTTCAACTCCGTCAAATGCGGAGAGCTCGCTCGAACGTATACATACACGCGTACGAGATTCTGTCCCCCCGAGGGCTGAGGAACGAAATTATAGGCACACGTGCGCGTGGTCGGCTTTGTCCAATGCAGCGTTCCGGCACCAATATTTTTATGGGGACTCGGGCACGGTGTGGATTTGTAAACGTTTTTCAAGGTGACGAAACAATGTTTATGGTACACGAGATAAGAGTTGGTCCAGGTTATTGTCATCGTAGCAGTTCCTAATTGATAAAACTCTAATGCTTACAAAACATTGTATCAATCGATATTAAAATATTCTTTAACTGCTTGCTCTGAATGATTTTTACGATAAATTCTTTTAAGGCCAATTAATTTTTTTTTTTTTTAATTAAAATAAAAAACATTTTTAATTAAGATTGAATCGGAATTTTCCAACAATCATTGATCTTTACATTTTCTTGGTCCAAATGAGATTATAAAAGATTTGAGAAATGTGTCTACAACACAATGAAACAATCATGAATTCCGAGCTTAAACAATATTAAAAGTCTCGATTACTATGTGAAGTGGAAAATAACAATGAAACAATCATTAATGACATTTAAGCAAGTAGGTAAAAATCAATCCTATTAAAATTTCTTCATCACTTACTTTATGTACCTGCTTATTTTTTTGACGACAAAGATTATTTAATATTGTAATCACGAATATTTGGTTATTTGATCCTTAATCCAATCCAAATACGAATAAACTCGGGTAAAAACGTCTGGATTGCCGTCGGCGCAAGAATTTATCACGTAAGATGTTATTCCTATCTGCATGCCATCTGTGACCAGTGGACTGCCAGAATCACCCTACGAGCCAAATTATAATTATTTTAGTAAGTTTTTAATCACGAGGTTTTTTTTTTCCAATCACTTACGTTACAAGCGCCTTGTCCGTATCGAGTAAATGTGCATATCTTTTGGTACCCGTTGGCTAAGCTAATCCGCTCCTCGCACTTTTTCTTACTCAACAAGCACGTCGAATAGTACCGCAACTCATTCGATACGGTATAGCCATTTTTCTGCAAACAAATATCCATACATCACAAAATACGAGCCATTATTATTTATGGATGATAATTTTAAATATATGTTATTGCCAAATAAATGTTAAAATTTGAATAACCTGATGTATACCCCATCCAGCTAGGGTAGCTGGATAATTGTCAAAGTCGACGTCACGATTTGCCAAAGTGACGGGTTTTACTTTTTCGCTAAACTTTATGGTTGCATTGACCTTCACAAGTCCCACGTCGTTAATCACATTGTGTATGTTATACTTGTGATGATACAAAATTTTCACCGATTTGTAAACCGTTCCGCCGGAATTTAATTCGTTGGTGCCAACGACAACATTCAATCCACCATCCGACAGGCTGAAAATCGTTGGCAGGTATTTAAATTTCCGTATTTCTTTTGTTTGAAAAAAAATATCTTGCATTTTACATACCCGGTGAGACAATGAGCTGCCGTTAAAATCCACCGTTCGTTTAGTATCGATCCGCCGCAACTGTGCCTTTGTGACCTACGTAAGGACGCCTGGTAAGGGAACGCGCCATCCGGTGCAATTTGTCCCTCGATGATGCGACCACCCAAACGCCCGGAGCACGTGTTTTTTTCCACAACATTGAAGGAGGACGATCCACTAGCTATGTGATTGAATTTGGTAATTAAGCATCGATATTGTTTGATTCGATAAAGTCATTGATATGTACGCGACGAGTGAGAATAGCGTGAGCATACATTATTAATATGAACAGAAGCATATTGCACTTGAGGTACAGAAAGTTGAAGCAAATCCTTAAAAAATAATTACTGCATATCTTAAAGTACATTAGTTCTAATACTAAAGAGTAACAGCGTTCAAAGTGGTGATAATAATAATAAAACAGCAAGTGTCTATACTGACAAAAAGTTTGGCTTCAACAAATGATAGTTACCTTGGATTGTAATCCAGCAAATGCACGATGTTACAACTAGAATCTGGTGTGAACGAAACATAGTGACCAGTTGTGATGTTATCCTGAGAGCTTCGTGCTCCTACTTGTTTTATAATAAACGTATCGGATGCTTATCTATATTTATTGTTTATCTTATCAAACGTACTCTCGACCAATATAGCGCCTATTTATCAATGAAATCTCTTAAAAATTTTCACCAAAGCTCTAGGATAAAAAACTTTCTTCAATTTAAAACACCAACTCAGTATGGGTACTATTTTTTTTTTTTTTTTTTTTTCCTAACATATAAGCTTCCTGCATTCCATGCAATTTAAATAAACATATTTTCAATCAATTTTTTGTAAGTTTTTTAGGTCACGAAACTCATAGTTGTGAGGGTAAAATAAATCTATTGTTACAAGTCTCCATCCGACAGATCTCACAGTACATACGTGAAAAAAAAATAAATAAATAGTATAAACAAACTGAGGCATATTTCAATGTACTTTTGATACGTGTAACCGCCCGATTTTTTTTCTCATCCATGATAAAAGATGCAATCGTAGTCAATCTGTCATGATGAATCTTATCATTGAATACAATTTCATTCATATCAGTGAACGTGATATTTTTTACTTACACGTGTTATCAATCCCACGAATCATCTTTTTTTTTGTTCAAGTAGTGAATTATATGATTCATATCATTGGTACACACAAGCATCAGAAACAGTGTACACTTAAATTCGATATACTATCTCCAAGTAATTAAATATCATTAATTTTACTGGGTAAATAAAGTCTTCTGATATCAAGTGCAGTTTGAGATACACTTTAGATATCAAAGTAATGTTCAAAGGGTGTTGAGTTATTGATTATTGTTCATGCAGACTGTTAAAAATATTATTGACGACAAAATCTTTGTGAACAGTAGCTTTTTCAAATAAATGATGACATTTTAAAAATGATTTCTCTCGATAATCTAAGTTTTGCAGTATTTTATCAACAGCACTATTGTAAAGCCCAGAAGGCGAATGAATTTCATCGATTTCCAAGGGCACAAGGTTTACTCGGTACGACTGAGTGTGTGTACAGAGAAGCAGGAAAAGCGTGACGGGCACTCGTCGTCGTTGTTCAATGGAACGAGATGCATATATATGGGGTGGTTTGAGAGCTTTTACGGGGGCGGGGAGGAAAAGAGCGCGTGCACGTCCTTTTCCTTTAATAAATAACAGATGCACGTGCGAAAAAAAGTCGTGAGAAAAAATGAAGGACTCGATGCGCAGTGCCTTGCATGTCCTCGGAAAGGAATGACAAAGGCAACCCGAGTTTACCCCTGTTTTTTTTTTCCTGCCTACTGCTGTATGACGTTGAATTATATATGAGCACGAGGTAGTGTATGTAGTGTATGGCTCGTTTAATTACGTTTCTACCGATTTCATGATGTTTGATTGTGACTATTCATGGTTGCTCGCGTGAGCGAGTTCAAATTTATGACATAAGGCTCATCAAACAATGCAATTAAAAGTGGCTTCAAAAAATGTCACCCATTTTTTTTTTTCAAGTAATGTAAATTTTTTTTTTAATAAGAAATACCTTTTTGTAACTTGAATTGGTATCATGTTGGCAGTAAATTGTACTGTTAATTGAAATTTGGCACTATTACTTGGGTAAACTGATGTACGTGTTGTATCACAAAGTTTAACTGTGATTGCACTGATAGCACTTAAGCCCGTGTATACAGAGTGAGAGAGACGGTAAGCTTTTTCCACTCTCTTATTTCGTTATGAATGAATATTTATGATCTGGACGCTACCTTGACTCAAACAAAAACGATGCCAGTACTGTCAAGGAAAGCTTTTGTGCGAAACCTTTGATTCATAAAAATTGTATAAAAATATTTTTTTTTTTTTTTTTCACGAGTGCCAGAAATTTATCTCAAAAGCAAAGAATCCGTGTTAAAAGAACGACCCCTAGCACCCCTCACACGATACAAAAATATGACTATATGACGAATGTCACCTCGCAAGTCTTTTAAAACAATCGATAGCCATGTTCGGCTTGACAGAAAACAAAGTACCGATACAAGTGTTCGGATGCCCCGTGCAATTAATTCGTGCCCCCGGGGCTAAAGTACGATGATTAAAAAGTCAGGGATCCTCGTTTAAACGAAAGAGACCCTTTCCACTCCTCTTTCTCCTTTGAAATGCGAGCGCGTGTTTACTTTTGTCCCGGATGGCGAGGGAGGGGGGAAAAAAAATAAAATGACCATCTCTGAACCCCCGACGCTTCCGATCGCACGTAAAACAATAGACAGTGCGAAGGAACAAAAGTACAACTATTGTCAAAAAATGTTACGCCCTGCATGGCACCATATACCTGCTTTCATTTGCAAATTTTTTTTTTTTTCTTTTTTTTTTCAAAAAAATTAACGCAGCCCTCGACGCTCCACCGATACACCCAGACGGAAAGAAAGACGCCTTCGGATACATATCTCCTTGCACAAACCGCCTTAACGAGCGCTTCCACGAAAGAACACCATTAGCATGACAGCCGTGCCTGCTTCTCCTTCTGCTGGCCCTTTTTATTTTTGCTTGTATATATATATATATACCTCGCACATCACATTTCTCCGTATGGACGTGCACAGCTGGCGGCAGTGACGCGTCGCCAGATAAACCAATAGATCGCTGACTTCTAATTACCTAATGCCCTTTTTTGCGCTCTCTGTACCCCCCCCCCTCTCTATCTGTTCCCTCTTTTCTTTGCCAGCGCGCGCCTATCGTTGTTCGATTTCATTTCTTCAAAAGGGAGGGGCGTATACGTTGTGCAAACATACTTTGTGTACAAGTCCCTCGGCAAATACACTCGACGCTCGCTCGTGCGCCCACCCTATCGAAAAAAAGGGAGTTTAGACTACGCGTAACAAAAAAAAAAAAAAAAAAAAAAAAAGGCTGGTGATGGGCACGAGGCTTCCGTTCACAATATACGGACGTATCGGAAATGCTGGGGCATTGAGTGCTTTCTCGGTTGTACGGAGGATGTTGTCGGAAAATAAATATATATGTACGTAGTCGAGGAGCGTTTCGTTAATAGTTGTTTGATTTCTCCTTAAACGAGTTTGAGAAGGGAAAGTAGTAGGGGCTTGCGTTACAATTCAACTTTTAACGTATGGAATATGCATGAGGTGGAAACGTGACGTTTCGTATGTATACTGCCATAGGCAGGAAATTTGTACAAGCTCCTTTGAGTACGTTTAATTAGAAATTATGGAAAAGTAACCAATAAGGAGATTAATTAAAGGCTGTGGGTAATATTGCTATTGGAGGCTCTGCATGGAGATTTCTCTGTCGGTGTTAATTAGTAGATTAAGTTCTAGTAAAAAAAAAAAAAAAACAAATAAAATGGGAGTAGCTTAGTCACGAAAAAATGAGTTCAAGTTGAAAGGGTTTAAGATTCCGAGGGTCAAAAAATCATGAGCATGAGGTGAATGTACAAACGTATAAAAAGGAAGACAGGAGACTATTATGTTAAATAAGAGGTATGCTGGCAATGTATTTGGAGATCAAAGAGGTGTATCTCGTCTTCTTCTTTCAGCCTATAAAATGTTAACAAAAATGTTAAGAAAAGGAGTGATGTAGAGACCAGCTGCAAAACGGTATACATGCAGGTTTCGTGGATTAAAAAAAAAAAAAAAAAATACAAATACAAATAGTAAAGTTGATAAAAGAAAACAAACGAAATTCCAGGGGGTAGCGATAGAGGTGTCTGAAAAAGCAAAACCTCGAGAAGAGCTCGTGGGCATTGAGCAATAAGGAAGAAAAAAAAAAAAGAAAGTCAAATAAGGAGTACCGGAAAGTACATGGGGAGTGCCCAATTGCCTGGTGACCCGTTGCTTGGACTGCGCACCAACTGTCCCTCCACTCGTCAAGTGTGCATTCGCGCGGAGTATGCGAAAAACGGAGAATGTGTACAGGTACATATATACGTAATGCACGAGACGGAGTTTCGTAGGCGAACAACTGGAAACCCAATCTATCGAGATCCTTTCGCTCTCCTCCTTCCTTTTCGTCTATTTTTTTTCTTCCTCCTCCTGTTTGTGCACTCTCGTGCTCCCTCCCTCTCTTTATAGCTTGCATGTACAATACCAGGGCGCTGAATGCCATGAACTGAAAATACATTTCTCTCTCTCTCTCTGTAGGTGAGTGTGTTTCTATGTCCGTCTTCCCTCCCGGCTGCTCGTCTCTTTTTTTTTTTTCTCGTGCCGCGCGCGAGCTGCCGTTTGGAAAACTTTAGGGGTGCAGCGTGGAAGATGCTGTTTGCTTTCAAAATGATTCCGGTGAAATCCCATTGTCGGGCGCGTTGGTTCGCCTTCGATTTATTGCTCCTCCGGCCGCACTCGCGGGCGACACATAAATCCCGGAGCGCGATAAATAAAGCAACAACGCGTGGATCGAGTTTTTCCTTACCTCCTTCTCGAGATACGTGTATATATTATACTCTGGATTGAGTCAGCAGTAGTGGCTATGGATTCGTGTAAATATATAGATGGATCTGTAGCTTTGCTTGTTGTCGTCTCTTGTCGAGGCAAAAATTTTCCAGACCAGATTCTTAGGTGGCGCCTACATTGTTGCAATTCAGAAAAATGAAGTATATAATCAACAATTGGATGAAAGTCGAATGTAACGTAAACTTTGGCTGAAATAGCAGCCAATTCAGCTTTTGATCGAAGAGATTTGTAGTGGCAACTTTGTGGGTTCCCAAAAATGATAATAATTCGTCTTTATTTTTACCCCAAAGCCAAACAACGATTAATCTGAACTAGCTTACCATTTTTCCGCAGCGATTTCAAATAAGCTACTATATAATCTCAAGTCTGAATTGGCTGGGGGTTTTCTTTTTTTTTTTTTTTTTATCCAACCCATTGCGTGAAACGATGCACTACGTGTATATATTCACCGGAAAAAAACATAATCATAATCCCCAACATCACGAACGTGTAACACGTGAAGTAAACGACGGCTGAACGACATCCTTTGATTTTACGGCGTCATAATTTTCCAAAGCCCCTCTTCTGCCGCGGTTGAG